TATATATATATATGTTTAAAAATGTAGAATGTCTGCGAATTACCAGTTTTCTCAAAGGCTAGAATCATAAAAATGCAGAAAATATTATTTTTGATTAATATTATTTTACTTCTTTTTTTTTTTCTTTTGAAGCGATTTTTGCTATCAGACGTGTGGTCACCAGAAAGACAGAGAGAAATAGAGAGACAGAAAGCAAGAAATCACCCCCTAGGGGGACTGGCCATGCCACAATCCCTTCTCCTCCATTCTCCTCTCAGGATCTTGGGCACGCACGCACACGCACCTGCCATGAGTTTAAGCCACCTGGTCCAGGACTCAAACCACGGTAGACCACATGGGAGTCCACCGACATAGCCATTACTCTAACTGCTGGTCCCAATATTATTTTACTTTAAGAAAGACAGAAATGATTCTATTTCAAGAAATAAGCAATAATGATAAAAGATGTGATTAATGTACTATATCTCTTTTAAGCCAAAGCATACTTTTCCCTTTGGAGATGACAATTCAGACTTTTACATTCTTAATATTCTTTGTCCAGAACAGGATCCCATTTTAAACCATTATTTGAATGGAGTTCATCCTCTTGTCTTTTTCTCCATAGGATCTTTTCATTTCAGTATGCAAGCTGCTAAATGGCAATGACCCAGGCAGTATAAAGACTTTGTAAAGCCACAATAAATGCTAATTTACAGTAACTGCCAACAGACACCAACAAACTACACCCAAGTCTGAAAGTTACTAGAGACAGTATTGAGGTCAGAATATGATTTTTCCTTATGATCAATCAAATTTCATTTACTAAATAATACTATCATGAAATCCAAAGAAAAATCCTATAACGAATCCTTCCCAAATGATTTGCCACTGGTTACAGAACCTATTCAGTCCTTCAATCCTTTTTCAGTTGTTTAGCTTTTGCAATCTTTTCTTGATGTTTTTGTTTCTTCTTTTGCTCCTTCTCCCTGGCTTCAATCATCTTGGGCAATTTCCAGGACAGTACAGCACTTGCTAGAAACAGTGGAGTAAAAGCCAGAATAACTGTTGTAAGGAAGCCGTATGGGTCCTTTGCAGCCCATTCCATGACATATTCAGCCCAAGCCTTTATGTCAAACTTCCTTATAGTGGTTAGGAAAACTGGGTAGGGAATGGATATACTTCCAGCAACTTTTAATTAAGCTGGGATTAAAAATCATCTACCTTATGTTGAGTGATGATCTCTAACTATTCTGGGATTATTGCTGAGCCAATTACAACTTCCTATGACCTTTGATTGTCGTCTTCTTAGATCCACCATACACTTCTGAAAGGTTTAAATTCTATATAGTGGCTTGCTCCACCTGCACTGCCACCCCCTTCGCTGGGCACTGAACTAAACTCCACACTGGCCGACACCAGGCTCCCCGACATGGCACCAGGGGATCGGCTTCAGACTCCCGTTCTGAACTCACATCCAATAGCCTTCTATATCTACCCTCTCTTCCTTCCTCAGCTCTATGGTTATCCTTCACCCCTCTACCTCTCTGAGGTCATTTTTTCCTTAATTTCCACACATAAGAGAGAACATATGGTATTTTTTTTCTTTTGGTGCCTGGCTACTATAGTTTTAATTTACAAAATTACTCCTGAACAACCAGTCAGTCAAAGGAGAAATCAAAAGGAACATTTTATAAATGCTTAAGACAAACAACACTGTAAAACACACCAAAATGCAGCAAAAGCAATTCTAAGAAGGAAATTTAAGGTCTCCATTGAAAAGAGGAAAGATGCCAAATAAATAGACTAACATCATGCTTCAAGAAACTAGACAAAGAACAAACTAAGCCCAAGTTTAGCAGAAGGAAGGTAATACTAAAGTTCAGAACAGAAATAAATCATACACAAAATAGTAAAACAATAGGAAAAAAGTCAACATTACCAAGAGTTGGTTTCTCAAAAAAATAAATAAAATTAACAAACCCTGAGCTAGACTAAGAAAAAGAGAGAGAGAGAGAGAGAGAGAGAGAGAGAGAGAAAGAGAAGAGAGAAGACTCAAATATATAAAATCATAAATGAAAATGGAGATATTGTAACAGATATGCAAATAATACAAAGGATCATAAAGGACTAGTATGAACAATTATATGCCAACAAATTTAATAACCAAACAAAAATAAACTCCTAAAAAATATAACCTAAAAGAGAGAGAGAGAGAGAGAGAGAGAGAGAGAGAGAAAGAGAAGAGAGAAGACTCAAATATATAAAATCATAAATGAAAATGGAGATATTGTAACAGATATGCAAATAATACAAAGGATCATAAAGGACTAGTATGAACAATTATATGCCAACAAATTTAATAACCAAACAAAAATAAACTCCTAAAAAATATAACCTGCCAAGTTTGGTAATTTTTTTTAAAGATTTTTTTGAGGGACCAGCAAATGACATAATAGTTATATTGCTAGACTCTCATGTAGTTGACTGTGATTTGAGTCCTGGATCCAGCAACTTAAAATTCACTTCAGGTGCATGTGTGTGCATGCCCAAAATTCTGAGGAGAATGGAGAAGGGATTGCAGCGTGGGGGAGATTTTTCACTTTTTGTCTCTAGCAAAAAAATCTCTCTCCTAAAAATATTTTTTTACATGTGTGCTCACCAGAGAGAAAGAGACACACAAAGAGAGAAAAAAGTGAGAAATCACCCCCCAAGGGAGATGATCATGCCTCAATCTCTTCTCTTCCATTCTCCTCTCGAGATTTTTGGGCACATGCACACACATACTCCTGGCATGATTTTCAGACAAAAGGATCTGGGACTCAAAAAGCAGTCAAACATGTGGAAGTCCAGCATCTTAACCACCATGCCAAATGCTGTCCCCAAACTTGCCAAGTTTGAATCTGGAAGAAATAGTCTGACTATGCCAATAAAAAATGAATTAAAGTACTAATCCAAAACCTCCCAGCAAAGAAAAATCTAGGACTAGATGGCTTTAATTTTGAATTCAAACAAGAATTAATCCCAATACTTCTAAAATTCCTCAAAAAATAAAATAAAAAGCTAGAAGGAATAATTCTTAACATGGTTTACAAGGCCAGAACCACCTTCCTGCCGAAGCCAAAGACTTCACAAGATACTAATATTTTTGATGAAAATGTATCAAAAAATTATTAATAAAATATTAGCAAATCAAATTTAATAAAACACTTAAAAGATTATAAATCATGATTAAATGGAACTTATTTGTCGCATGCAAAGTTGGTTCAATATACACAAATCAATCAATGTGATATATCACACTAACAAACTGAAAAACAAAATTCACATGATCTTATCAATTCATGCAAAAATTCATTTGACAAAATTCAAAATCTTTCCATGTTAAGAACTTTTAATAGCAAAAACAAAAACAAAAAAGACATGCGCCCTAAAGGGAAAACCCCTCAAAAAAAAAAAAAAAAAAAAAAAAGAACTCTTAATAGAAGAAAAGTTTCTCAAAAAAATAAAAGTCTTTTATTTAAAAATCCACAGCTAACACCATAATCAATGAGGAGAGGGTGGGAGCTCTTCCTCTATGATCTAGTACAATACAAGGATGCCCACTCTTGCCCTTTACATTCAACATAGTACTGGAAGTATTATCAAAATAAATTAGACAAGAAAAAGAAATAAATGGTATCCAAACTGGGAACAAAGAACTACAGTTACTTCTTTTTGCAGATGACATGATCCTACATGTTGAGACCCAAAAGATTCCACTAAAAATCTGTTAAATATAATAAATGAATTCAGTAAAATTGAACATTATAAAACCAACAAATAAAGACCTATGACATTCTGGGACTAGCAGATGACATAGTGATTATGTCACTGAACTCCCACATAGTTGACTGTGGTTCTAGTCTCATACCTGGTAACTTAAAAAACATGTGAGTACATGTGTGTGCGTGCGTGCCCAAAATCCCGAGAGGATAATGGGGAAGGGTTTGCCACATGGCTATCCCCACTGGGGAGTGATTTCTTGTTTTCTGTCCCTCTTTCCTGTGAGCAAATGCACCCTATAGCAAATAAATAAATAAATAAATAACAATGTCATTTATGATATCATAAAAAAGTAATTGGAAATTAGGAATAAATTTAACTAAGGAGTTGAAAGACCTGCACACTGAAAACATCAATGCAAAAAATGAAAAGCATATACATAGATGGAAATATATTCCATGCACACGAATTAGAAAAATTGATGTTATAAAAATGTCCATACTAACTATAACAATATGTAAACTCAATGCAATCTTTATCAAACTCCCAATGTCATTCTTCACAGAAATAGGGGAAAAAATCTAAAATTTGTATGTAACCACAAAAGATCCTGAAGAACCAAAGCAAATCTGAAAAATAAAAATGGCAAAGTTGAAGGCATCACACTTCTGCTATCGCAATCAAACTAGCATGGTATTTAGTGAACAGATACATGGACTAATAGAACAAGTACTATTGTTTATTTATTTCTAGCCTAGAAATAAAACCAGATACATATGATCAGTTAATTTTTGGCAAAGTCACCAAAAGTACACAATGGAGAAAGGATAGTCTCCTCAATAAGTGGTTCTGTGATAACTGGATTTCTATATGCAAAAGAAGGAAATTAAGACCTTATCTTACACTATGCACAAAATCAACTAAAAATGAATTAAAGATCTGAATGTAAAACCTAATATCATAACATTCCTAGAAAATAAATCTTAAGAGAAGAGTTCCTCAACCTTGTTTTTTGCAGTGATTTTTTACATATGACATCAAAAGTTCAGGCTACACAAGAAAAATAAATAAATAAATAAATGGGACTACAATAAACTAAAAAGTGTCTGTTCAGGAAAGGAAACAATTAGCAAAATGAAAAGGCAACCTACAGGATGAGAAAAAATATTTGTAAACCAAATAAAAGGTAAGAGGTTAATATCTAAGATTTTTAAATAACTCCTGCAACTCAATGGAAAGAAAATAGATGATTTAAAAATGACAAATAATTTAAATAGACATTTCTCCAGAAGATGACATTTTAAAATGGTCAACTGGTATAAGAAAAGGTATTTAGCACAACCAAGAGTCAGGAAAAATGCAAATTAAAATCACTATGAGATACCATCTTACACTCATTAAAATAGTTAATATCAAAAGTACAAGAGATAAAAAATTTTGGCAAGAGTTTGAAGAAAAGTGAATCAAACCATGTTTGTGTGAGTGTAGATTGGTGCAGCCATTATGGAAAGCAGTATAGTAATCCCTAAAAAAATCTTAAAGTAGAACTACCATTTGATCCAGCAGTTTCTCTTCTGTGTATATAAATAAAATAAATGAAATCCCAGCATCATAAAGATAGTTGCACTCTGATATTTATTGCATTTTTCATAACAGCCAAGGTTTGGAAACAACTTAGGTATCTATCAGTGATTAAATGAATAAATATCAGTTTATACATACATACACAAGCATACACATTAACACACACACATGCACACACACAGAAACACACACACACACACACACACCAAAATGCTTCTCATCCCTCAACAAGGAAAAGATTCTGCCATTTGTCACAAAATGGAAAGATCTGGAGGACATTATGGTAAATGAAATAATCCAGATACAGAAAGAAAATATTGCATGATCTCAGTTATATGTGGAATCTAAAAAACAATAACAAAGAGCAGAAAAAGAGTCCAAGGGTGGAGAAAGTGGAGAGACAGAGATCAAAGGATACAAAGTGGCAAATATGTAGTATGAACAAGTTGAAAGATTTAATGTGCAACATGAGAACTATAGTAAGTAGCTAGTAATATTGTGACATATTAAGGAATTTTGCTGTTATAAATGAGCAGATTATAGATATTCTCACCACAGGGGAAAATCTGGGTAACTAAGTGAGATGATAGATACGTTAACTTGTTCCACCATAGTAACCATTTCACTCAGTAGTATTTTATATCTTAAATATACAGAGAATATTTATTTTAAAAATAAATTTATAACATGTATGCTGATTAACATTGATTTTATGCATACACACATGTGTATCACATGGTACTTTAAAGAATATGGATTTATGGTGAAAATAAAGACTAGGATTTTGAA